GGTTTTCTCATCATCATCCCCTGATGATGACATAACCTTGTCGAAACGTTGTACATTTGCTGTCATGTTAAACTTATATTAAAGTTTTTCTTCATTACCCATTTAAGCCGTCTCCAGCCATTATTAGTCTCAAAGTGGGTTCCTCGTCATCGAATTTAAATATCTAGTAAATGCTAGGGCATTCTTGAAAGAACAGGATATTTCTAGAAAACAGGTGGCGTGATACTAGTCACGTGACCTCGCTGACGCAACAATACAAGTTAAAGGTGAAAACCAAATTAGAATACTAAATCATGAGCCAATATTAAAAGTATTCGTCCGAAATTATATTGTTACGACAGCGGAAGTCACGTTACGCTGGTAACACGTGATGAGTTTCTAGAAGGATTATGACAGTTCCTGGCAACTCTAGTCTTTTCTATGCGCCCTCTATTTTAGTATAAAATCCGGCAAATAAAGCGGAGAGAGAACTACAGAAAGGGAGATATAGAGACAGATAATCGAGTCAAGCGGTAGTAACCATACGTAGTGCGTGAATCGTTGTGAATTATAGCGTGTGTTTAAGTTAAAGTGACTGTGGAAATTCTTTGTATTGCAAAATTGTATTGTGAAAGAATAAACTAGTTTTATTTAAGAAAGGACTTGTATCACTGAAGTTCCTCGGGAAAATTTTTTACCATAAATTAAAAAACGACCAGAGACGTAACAATATATTAATGAAGAAAATATAATGTATAGACTACGAAAGTTTCTATATAGGAGTATCAGGTAGGGAAATAATGACCAGAAGCAAGGAACATGAAAAACGGAAAGAATCAATGTAAATGAACGTATGATTGAAAAACAACACACACAAAATTCAAATTGTAGCATCTAGAAAAAACCCAAACAAAAACTGGAAGCATTAAGAATTAAAACATAACTTAAATAAAACATCAGGAGCATGGTTATTTTTGTATAAAATTATTGATATAGAAAAGCATATGTGGCTAGTGTCATCTTAAGTAATAATATTCGATTGTATATATTATATATCTAATTTAAATGTGTTTGTGCTCTGAATAAACATTCAGAGTTATGCGATATAAACGTTATGCGAAATAAAGCTACCATCAAACCAGGTGTTCTTTATATATATATATATCATCATAAAACATTAATTGATTGTTCCCACCAGAGGGATAACCATAAGTGCTACGTCACAGAGGCAATCGTGAAGCACTGAGGCCGGTGGCAGGTTCGCCGTCTATATAAAGGAGGTTCAGCAGTGGTTCAACGGCTTCTCAGAAGCCTTGATTATAGTTTGTTTGTTGTGTTTTTGTTAATTTTAAATGGCAGCATCTACCGTGGTAAGTTGATTTGACTTATTATCCTATGAAACGTATCAGTATTTCGTTACGTTACGAAAAATAAGCTATATGAGTTGTGTGAAGAGTTCATTAAACAGCTATATCTCCATAGTTGCATTGCAACATGGGAAAATTCATTGCAGCAACAGGGCGGCAAAAAGTAACACTAAGAGTACCCTGATGTTACGCACGGTACATTTATACGTCTTGTACGGAATTGTTATTAAACGTAAATGAAAATCTCAGAAGCTGCTCGTAAGGTGGCGCAATGCATAAGCATATATAAAAACAAACTAAAAATACCGTCTTTGTTTTATTAATTTTTAACCCATTGTAATAATAAGTTTGGTTTGCATAAAGTATAATATTATTATTAGTAGAAATACTTAGTTTACCGGGTATTTTTAATTATGGATTATTAAAAATATGTGAATTTACATAAAATTTAAAAGTTTTGGACGAAATTGCATTAAATAAAAATGTAATTGCTGAACTTTAATATTTTTACACCTAATTTTAGAATGCAAATAGAGCTAAAATAACTGTTAAGGTCACCATGTTCCGAGTATCATAACATAACTTAAGGACAACAAGGAACCTGTTGGTCAGTGACTAGGCCGTTCCATCCACTAAACTAAATTTTTAAGGTTAAAAATCAGATTCAAAGCCAACCGTCATCATTCACATACTTATAAAACCTTATTACATGTTTCGATAGACCAAAATGGTGTTGAAACATGCAGTATGATCCCTAAAAATAAATTGCTTCATTACGCTTATCAATCGTTTATTGTCAATTCACTACTTTGTTAACATAATATGCTTCCATACACAACTACACAGGTATCAAATTTACTTCATCCATTACATCTTAAGGCAATCGTTCCAAAGGCCATCTACTCTGTTAGTTGAAGATGACTCTTACCCTGTTAAAATGTTTTTGTGTTCTCTAGTTCTACCATTCTCACCATTGATTAGGAAAAAGGTTAGCTTTCTAAATATATTTTTTAGTCTTCTGAAATTTGCAGTATAAACAATAGACATGCTAGTAAATTGCATCACTGTAACAGAACACCTTAATATTAAATGTGTGCACACACCCCTCCCCCCAAGTGTAACATTATTGTAGGTATAGCACCCTTTTAATTTATAAGTAGTAGAGAAGTTTTAGCAATGTCAGTCCAGATCCTCATGACATTCATATAATGTTTATTTCCTTGAGGCAGTAAAGACTTCACATTATTAGGATATCAAAAACAAAAATTAATTTTATAGTAATGACAACTTTAACATTTTTGTAGTATTTTTATTTAAATGTATTTCTGTTTTAATGATTCAGAAATTTTGAGTGCAGAACCCAAGATTTTGATATGTCATAGAGCAATCAGATTGTTGCATGTTTGACTTGTTTTTGTAAACATCTGTATCAGTGAATGAAAAACTACCAAGTGATTCTTATAGAATTAAATTTCTAACCTATAGTTGTAATGGTGCTTTAATGAAGTTAAAAAAAGCATTTCAAGCTATTTTGTCTGTTGGTTTGCATTATGTAGTGTACATATATATATATATATGACTTCCTCTAAAGCTTACTGCTGCGGTAGTGTCATTTAGTTTATTGTTACAAATGTTTTACCACACTATAACAGTTTATAAAATGGTACTTCTTTTTTTATTAATGGAAGTATATTTATTGTAACTGAAACTATACATGCAGATCTATGCTGTGTAGCTCACATTGAAATCTATCTTGTGGTATTTCTGTGGATACTAGTGGTATTTATGTTCATGATATCAGAAAAACACGTAGGTTCAAGAAGTCTTGATATAAAATGATAAAAACCCTATAAATCGAATGATTTTGAAAGGTGGAACTTTCTTCTTCAGGGTTCCCAGCTGGCCCCAGAATAAAAAAGGTCTACTTTTGTAAGTGCTCGGGTTATAGAGTTTTTTTTATCAGTGGTATTTATGTAGTACTCTCAATGGAATCAAAATTCTATGATAAAGCTTTTTTTAACATCATGTATGTAAATATGACCTCAACAATAGCTTCTTATGTAACTTGTAAAAGAAGTTTTTGGTATTAAACAAGATGATCTGTTACAAGTAACCTGAAAAAACTTGTTTTATGTTTTGCATAATTCTGATTTTTTTCAGTTATTTCCAATTAAAATATAGGTAGTAATATATGCATACAACATAGGACTAGAGGTAAATGAACTAGAATTTATTTTTAGCTTTTCAAGTGAGATATCAAAGTCATGTTAAGTAACACAAAATGTGCTTTATCCTACAGAGGAAGTGTCTGTGGTGGAAAAATCCTTCTAGTTTCTGTTTACATTCACATATTTGTTAATTTTTTATTCATTTTTCTTTGATAATGCTACAATTGATGGGTTCCAGAGTACACTTAGTATTTCAAACTATGCAGTTCAGTAGTTTTTTAGCACTTTTTTAAATAAACTGCTTTAAAAAAGAACAGATTAGCCATCCTAACTGTAGATCGAAGCTAGCAAATGTAAAGCTGTTGTTACAACTTGAAATGTTTTGTTTTATGCCAGTTTGTGTTAATCAGCTCACATTCTATGGCAGAATGGTTAATAAAAGAATAATATTTATATCTTAAGTCATTCATTGTGTTGTATATTTTAGCCAAAGTTGTACAGAAGCGTTATAGAGGATGTTATCAACAATGTTAGAGAAGCCTTTCTTGATGAGGGTGTGGATGAACAAATACTCGTAGAATTGAAACAGGTGGGCTTGTTATTTTTTTGTAGATAGTGGCCAAAGTTGTAAAGAAGTAGGAGAGGGTATTTTCAACAACATTTAAAAACCCCTTCTAGATTATTGTAAATGAACAAGTAATTAATTAAAGAGTCACAGTTTTGGAATACTTCACAAGTGTTTTAGACTGAGTTTGTTTACAGACACTTTAATCAGGGTACATATGCATCCTTGAAAGTCCTTGAAATTGAGAATGGAATTTCAAAGACTTGAGTATTTCTTTTCTTTTTAGTCTACATTCATATGTTGAACAAATAAATAGAAATTTTAAAAAAATTCAGTGGAATCCTATTGATTTTTAGATTTTAGCTTCCAAAAAGTGCTTTAAATACATTCTGAAAGTGCTTGGAAAGTCCTTAAAGTGCTTGAAATTGATCTGAGCAATTCCGTATGAACTATGTTTAATAATAATATTACCAAAAAAAATCTTTCTTCAGAAATTCTATGAAAGAAAGTTTCAATTGAACAGCAGGTTCATCAACAGAAGTACTACTTAACCCGATGTTGTTACTCTTTCTATAGACCCATGTTATATAACTTGTGTCTCTCTCCAGACTCGTTTTATATAATTACTATCTCTCCTTAAACCCATCTCATACAGTTTTTATCTCTCGAGACCCATCTTCTATAGTTATTTTAGTTAGACCCATCTCGTGTAGTTTTCTCTCTCTCTCTCTCTCTAGACTTGCCTCTAATAGTTTGTCTCTCACTCTCTAGACCCGCCTCTAATTGTTTGTCTCTCACTCTCTAGAACCACCACTAATAGTTTTTCTCTCACTCTCTAGACTCACCTCTCATAGTTTGTCTCTCACTCTCTAGACTCATCTCACATAGTTTTGTCTCTCACTCCCTCTCTCTAGACCCACCTCATATAGTTTTGTCTCTCACTCCCTCTCTCCAGACTCATCTCACATAATTTTTCTCTCTCCCTTTATTTCTAGGCTCATTTCACATTATTTTTCTCTCTTAGTTCTCTGGACCCATCTCGTATAGTTATTTTTTGTATTTAAGTACAGGTTTTTTTATATTTCTATGATTTTGCTTAATAGATTACACAGTAAAGAATAAAGAGTTTGGGTTTTAGATAGAGCACATGTTGTATTTCGTTTTGTTGATTCTAGTTCTTTAAGTTCCAGATATACTCAAGTATTTGATGAGGGCAGCACTAGTAAGTCACTTAAAGAAATTCAAGAGATCATTTCACACATTAGTTTGAGTGTCTCTTGATTAAACTTCATATGCTTTAGATATAATACTAGAATAAAAGTATGACTATTACTATATCAATAACAAAAAATAAATGAAATTTCTACTTAGTACTTTAAACTTCTAGTTACAGTTTATTTTTCGATGATGTTTCAGACCTGGGAAAAGAAGCTAGTTGAATCGAAAGCTGTAGAACATAAAGAACCAGAAATGGTTAGTGCTCCTAATTTTAGACATCAAGTAACAAGTCAGTCATCTTCTCAACATGCTCAGCCTCAACCGAGGGTGGTTGCACAGGTTGCATCATCAGGTTGGTTGAAAGTTTCTTTTTTTTTTTCACATCATACTTAGCAATATATGTAAAACAAGGTTTGGAACAAAGATTTCTACAAGCAGTGTAAACGTTAACACAATGAAAGAGTAATGTAAAACAGAGCTATGTCGTCGTGATTACTGTAACTGATAATTTATTACTGACTGGATAAATGTTGATGTTATATGAATATTTGATAGCTGTTGGTGAATGTTGGGTAAACAGTGGTGTGTGTACATGAATGTTGGATAAATGGTGTGGGTATGTGAATAATATGGAAAACTCTCTCAACAAGATTTCTTGCTCTTGTGTTGATTGGATTAGTGTCAGTGTGTACGTGAATGTTTTTGGTCATGCAGATAGCTAGTAAGTGAGGGTTTTGGCTATTAGATAATGAAACATAAACTATGGATATATATGATTGACATGTTCTATTTTCTAATTCGTAGTATACTCTGACGATCTAATGATAATCTATTCACACCTTTCTGATATATATGAAAAAAAAGTTAACAAATCCATTTGTAGATCTGGTGGCTCAGTGGTACATTTGCTAAAGTTCAGGTTTCCATACTTGTAGTGGTTACATCACAGATAGCAAATTTTGTGTAGCTTTACCGTAAACACATAAGTGAGCTTGTAGGGAGAGAAAAATTGTAGTACAAATACAGATTAAGATAAGATCTCTGAAGTTATTTTTTTTGAGAAGAGAAAAGTTATAAGAGATTAGATTGAAGTGATTTATGATTGTTAAAGGAATTCATGGTGTTGATGCATCATTTTTTACCTTTATTGAGAGAATTGTAGGACTAGGAGACACAAATATAAATTGACAAAGTAGAGGTCATCTTCAGCCAAGGCAGTTTTATTTTCTTAGTAGATGGTTATCCTTTAGGAAAGATTGCCTTCAGATGTGGTGGAGGCACTTAATTTAAAGGAATTTAAGGGATGTCTTATTAAGTATTGAATGATAACAATTGAGTTATTAGTTTATCAAAACATGTAATAAGGCTTGATAAATATATGAATGATAAGGGCTGGCTTTGAGTGTTTTTATTTTTGTTTCTTTGTTTGTTTGTAATTAAGTACAAAGCTACACAGTGGGCTATTTGTGCTCTGCCCACCATTGTAAGTCCTAAGACATACTGCTGTACCACTGGGGGGGCTTTTCTAATTAAGTTTAATTTGGTAGATGGGACAGTCTAGATGGACCAACAGGTTTCAGGTTGTCCTTAAATGTTATGTTATACACACACTCACACACACACACGTTGTTTGATATTTTATAAACTTCCTTGGATCATGTGGAAACAACATATGACGACAATAGTGCTTGGTACAACTTTTGTGTAACTTTGTTTCTTAAATATCAACAAAACACTGAAATGTTTGATAAAAAATAAAATAATAGAATATTTATAAAACATGATTTACTTTTCTACTTTAATTTGAATGTAGAAATGTTAAATATACCATTGCTTCTATCATATTATTTTGGCATATCCAAGTTATTACAGAAGCTTATCTTGGAGCACTTGCAGACATATCTCAGGACTACAACAAAAACTGTTGTCTGTGCATAAAATCAAGGTTATTAAAGTGTATTTTACTACCTGTAAGGTACTCTGTTAGATCTGTAGCTTGGGTTGTTAAAGTGTACTTTACTACCTGTAAGGTACTTTGGTAGATCTGTAGCTTGGGTTGTTAAAGTGTACTTTACTACCTGTAAGGTACTTTGGTAGATCTGTAGCTTGGGTTGTTAAAGTATACTTTACTACCTTTAAGGTACTTTGTTAGATCTGTAGCTTGGGTTGTTAAAGTGTATTTTACTACCTGTAAGGTACTTTGGTAGATCTGTAGCTTGGGTTGTTAAAGTGTACTTTACTACCTGTAAGGTACTTTGGTAGATCTGTAGCTTGTGTTGTTAAAGTGTATTTTACTAGCTGTGAGGTACTTTGGTAGAGGTTTTAATGTGGTGGTTAGAGTAGTTTGGCATTTATGCTTATATCTTGTATGTTAGATCACGTGCCTGATGTGTGAGAGGTGCTATGTTAGAGCTTTGAATACCACATTAGTTTATCTTCTGGCTTATATACAAGTGGCTTACTCTATTTTTACCTAGCTAGTTTAATTAATAATATTTTCTAAAAATAACCTTTAGTTATCTTGTCCTAATTTTGAGACCATTTGGTGAGTCGAAAATTTAGTATTCTGCCTTGAATTGAGAGTATGTAAATCAAGTGAATTTAAAATCTGACATAAAATGCAGTTTATTTTTTTTTCTCTCTTTTCGTTTAGCAATAGCTCATCAACTGGCTTTGCCTCCTGGTAGTTTGGTGCAGCCTATAATTCAGTATTCCTCCACTACAGGCACTGGGGTAGGTTTATTTTTCTCTGTTTTTAGGAAGAAGTGAGTGTGTTTATTATCAAGTACGTGTAGAGTTTGTACCTCAATGTAGTTCTGTAAGTTTCCTTTGAGACGGACACTTAACTTTCATTTTAAAATCCTAGTTTAACTTATCACAAAATGAATACCATTACAGGTTTACAGTTGTCATCCTTGTTGTAAAGTAATACAGTTACGATCTTAATCAGCTTGTTTTTAGGGTTATTTAACTGTAATATTCTCATAATATGAAACTTGAATTTATTTCATCGTATCATTTTTAATGAACATCTCATAAATTTTTTTATAACCAAATGTATTGCTAACAGCAAGTGTGCCCCCGCTGAAGAAACAATGCATTCTAATTTATATCAGTCAGAATAAAACCAGGTTGATTTTAAAGTATAATTTATGTACTTAGAAATAAGTATGATTGGTTACAAAGATGTCCAGTGGTGTGTATTGCAGTATGAATTGATAAAAGTAGAATGAGTCATGTTGTCCATTTATATAAAACCTAAACTACCGATATAACATGATACAGACAAGTTTGGAATGACAAAGTTCCAGCATGCACAGTGATATTCATTAAAGCATCTACATCTCAAGTTAAGTAATTTAGTTAAGAAATATAGCTACGTTGTTTGTATTATCTTGTATTATCCAAGGGTACATTTTGAAATATGCATCAAGATACTGCCAGTGTGTAAATTCTTTTCAATATACACTGTAAACACAAGCATAAAGAGAGAATGCTTCTTTTTGCCAACAGATGGAAACAGTTGCCCTTACAGTGCCACAGAAAGTGACCATTGCCCTACCTGCACAAAATTCCCAACAAGGTGTACAGACTGTAATGGTAAGTCCAGTGTCAAGTCCAACATCGACACTTTGGAAATGACTAACAAAGTATACGAGCTGTAATGGTAAGTCCAACATCACCGCTTTGGAACTGACTAACAAAGTATAGGAGCTGTAATGGTAAGTCCAACATTGTCACTTTAGAACTGACTAGCAAAGTATACGGGTTGTAATGGTAAGTCCAACATCACCACTTTGGAACTGACTAACAAAGTATACGAGCTGTAACAGTAAGTCCAACATCACCACTTTGGAACTGACTAACAAAGTATACGAGCTGTAATGGTAAGTCCAACATCACCACTTTAGAACTGACTAACAAAGTATAGGAGCTGTAATGGTAAGTCCAACATCACCACTTTAGAACTGACTAACAAAGTATAGGAGCTGTAATGGTAAGTCCAACATCACTACTTTGGAACTGACTAACAAAGTATACGAGCTGTAATGGTAAGTCCAACATTGTCACTTTTCAACATATATTCTGTTTGTTTGTTTGTGAATTATTTTTGTCACCAAATCATGAATTTCAGTTAAGAAAAGATAACATAGAGTGTGTGGTTATTTCTGCTGAAATTAATTTTTATGTAAAGTCCTTCATTCATTAATTTTCTTTGCTGAAATTTACATTTTAATGAGAAAAATTAATTCACAAAAATAATAAATAACCAATTAGTTTTCTCTATACTAGCAGCTGTGATCATATTTCACACATTTTCCAAACACCTAAAGTATTTTAGTTTATTAGCAGTGAGTAAAATGTGAAAACCAAACAAATATTTTGGTTAAGGAACTGGTGGTTCCGATATATGCCTTCTAAACCATCTTAATTCTTAAACAAATGCCAAAAAACTGGAGAATGTAATAATGAAACTTTTATTAAGATGTCAGTTTTTGTAGGTTCCAGGTCACTGTGTACTACAGTAAGTTCTGCTTTATTTTCAGTCTGCTGGTACTACTCTTGCTCTAAATCCTCAAATGACAGCTAACTTGCTTCAGCAGGCTGGTATCTTGAGCACTCAACAAGCCACACCCACCAGCCTTGATACAGGTTAGTGTTCTTTCAGTATTATTGTTGTACTGAGTAGTCTTAATTCATTTCTGTTAGGCCAGAATTACAACAGAATTTTATCAAAACTTTATTTATAAACACATGTTGGTGCTTGAAGGAGGGCTTTTGCAACAAAATCTTTGGCAGTAAAGAAAACACCGAGAATGCTGTTTGTTTAAGTGCAATAATCTTATAAGTGATTATAAATGTTTACCTCTAGCTTCTTGATTTTATTCTATCATAATTAAAAAAAATATATATATATATTGTTGCATATCTGCTTGTTTGTTAATTTCCCATTCAAATTCTTTCCGAGAAACTTCAGTGATACAAGTCCTTACTTAATTAAAACTAGTTTATTCTTTCTCGATATAACTTTGTAATACACAGAATTTCCATAGTCATTTTAACTTAACTACTTTTATAAACACACGCTATAATTCACAATGATTTACACACTTTACTTACAGTGCCTGCTGTTCACTTGACTCAATTATCTTTATCTTCAATCTGTCTGCATATGCCCTTATACACTAAAAAAGAGGACGTCTAGCAAATACTGGAATATTCGTGAGATTCCCCGATAAGTCATGATCCTTCTAGAAACTCCAGCGCGCATGCTCCCAGCATCATGTGACTTCCGCTGTCGTATCAATATATATTTGCAATAAACCTTATTAATTTTCTACTTCAGCTTGTGTCTCAAGATTAATTTGGTAATACAGCCAGTTAGGTGTTCTCACAGTATATAATAATTATGTTAGAATTACAGTATTTACAAATTTTCTTCCACTGTAATGGAAATAAGAGCACGTCAAGTTAACCATTTTAGTTTTGTGCTTTCTCTTTTAACTAGTTTCAATTTTGATTTTAATGAGAAGAAATAAATTGTTATATCAAATTAATGGCACATAAGTTGTGTTTTCTACAATGTTAAAACTACTCAACTTGTACATTGGCTTTAGAAGGATTGGTATAGTGCTTGAGGTATTTTTTTTGGTATGTTCCAATATGATATCTAACCTCCTCTCACAGAATACCTTTTCCTGACTTGTACTGCCATCTATATGCTAGCCACTAGCCTCGATACTCCCGTGTACCCGTGTGAGGAAGCTGCATGATAAAATACAAATGGGCATGTGACAACCCTCCACCAATAAGAGTGCGACACAACTCCTAGCATTGTTGACTCCCTCTATGCAGCTTAGCCCAACTTCACTTCTCGATTGGCACTCACGGTGTTAGGGCATGTTTATTGCTCATGTTTTACATTATGGAATTTTTATTCAGTTCCTTGTTCTTTATGGGAATTTAATTTTTCTTTACATTTGCTTCACTTGTTTTTTGAAATCCTAGCATTTTGTGTTTTTTTTATTATAATTCTTTGGTCTTTTCTACTTTCATTTTAGTTGAATTCCGAGTTTCACATTTCAAATACTGCCACTGCTGTTCCTACTCCAATTATCCTTTATTTTGACTATAGTGGCCTCAGGTCCACCATTATCAGTGGCAGATGTTACTGCCTGGGTTTGCTGGGAGTTGGCCACCTTTATGTGGGTTCCTGGTTCGCCTGAACAAGGGGACACTGTTTTTGACAAACTGTTCCTTCACCACAGTCTCTGTTAGCTCCAGTGCATGTGCCCAAGTCTTTTTCTCCTTTCCTGGGATAAGCACAACAACTATGTTTCAATTTGTCTTTGTTCTCCATTTCCTTTGACCTCTTCACTTTAAGTGAGACACATTCAGGCCAATATCTTGTTCTCACCCTCCCTCACTGGATATTGGGGTCCATGCCAATGGGTTTGTGGACCAATTACATTTAGGGGTCAGTATACCTTTAGCCCCATGTAATGTGACTTCCCATAGGTCTCCATTTTCCTTGTGTGGACTTGCAGCAGTTGGTTTCTTTGCTGGTTCTTTGGGGTTCAGGCCCCAATACTTCTGTAACATTTTCCCACCTCAATTTTTCCTTATCCATCTTATGTTATCATCCCTCCTTCGTTCTCTTTCCCTTGATTCCCTTTCTATCTGAGGCTCTTCATTGTTCCACTGATGGTTTTTTGGTTGGAACTTGTACCCTGCTTTTTGCTAGCTTGTCCTCTTCTGCCCTTTCCTTACAAATGTAGTTCCCCTGTTGTTGGGGTTTCTTGGCTCATGATGCTCTTTTGTCCTGCGTGCATATAATCCCACCTCCTTACGGGACTTGCTCATGGCTCCATTTTTCAGGCAAGATGTCTTTTGGGGTTTTGTTTGACTTGTTGAAGACCAGAGTCTATGCATTTGAACACTCTTTTTCCTGATTAGCTTCCTGTTTGTCTCAACCTTCTCTTGAACCTGTTTCCATGTCTTGTCCTTCTCTCTCCTCTGAGATTAGCCATTAGTTTCTTCATCGACAGATTCAGCATCCTGGGTGGTCCTGGTGACTACCTGGTGGGTACAGTTCTGGTAGGGGCCAGGCTTTTGCCCTTTGGGTTCTAAAGTAACTGAACCAGACCTCTTTGGTCTTTTGAGAAAAGAAAAGAGACAATTATTTAAAGCTCTGGATACAACTGTGATAACCAGAAGTTAGTCGAAGTAAGTTAGTGAAAGTGAAGTTACATTGTGTGATTGTTAGTTTAGCCATAATGGGCAATATCTGTGTGGAACCTGACAAAAGAGAGACAATTATTTAAACCTATCATCACGGGTCAAATGCCATGTTATTGCATTTGTTGACTCGCATTCAAAATTTTATCGAACTACTATTTTATTAATGTATGTCAATAAGTATGGTATCAAGTTGTAGATTATAATTATAATTCTAGTATTATACATTAGTTTATTTCTTAATTTAACAGTAAATATAAAAAACCATCTAAATATAAATTTTTGCGTCACGTTGTATGTTGAATGCAGCACTGGTTCAGTTAGTTGTTTGTGATGTCCAAATACAAAGTCTGTAGTTTCTTACAAATTAGATACTTAAATTACTGATATTGATAAGCTAGAAAATAAAATAAAAACCTCCTATTTTTTCTATTTCCTGAGATATTAATATATTTATTGAATCAACCAAGGTGGTCCCACCTACCATTTCAATTTTTGAAAATACTTGCTTACGTACACCTACTTGACCCAATGATGTGTATAACCAATGTCTCCATAGTGACTTTCTCAGCCTTTTTGAAATACTTGGGCAACAAATTCATTCCTTACATGCTAGATTCCAAGCAGTAAGATAAAACGTGAGCTTAGACCCAATCACAGTATAGTTACTAAGCTTGATAAATTATAGTGGAATTCTGTGGTATTGATATTGTAATTTATGATTCATGGTTATGTCAAAATGTGTATATAAAACCTAAAAATAGTATTTTGTTTCACATCCTCCAAGTGTGAAATTTGATAAGGCTTAGCAGCCTATGGCAAACAGCAGATGAGTAAAAAATTGAAGGGTAATTGTTTGCTATACTTCTTTATTTACTGTTCTATGTTTTAAGAAAAATAAGTTTAAGAACATATTTGTAAATAATAATAATGTATTAACATATCTGATGTATTAAACCTGAAATGTGGCTGTATTTTGAAAATACTAGTCCATTAAAACACAGCCAAGACAGGCCACTTTAAAGGCCTGTTTTATGTTCTTGGATATGGTAACATGAATGCACATGCACTGTGTCATTGCAACTTCTGTAATGTTAGAGTAAGCCAGGCATGGCTGAAAAGTAGATATGATAAAAAAAAATAATAAAATGTATGTATGTATAATGTATAATTTTATGAGATTTAAGCTATTTAGACTAAATGCTCATGTTTTTGTGTTATAATTTATAGTCATTCTAGAATGAAAAAAGCATAATTAATATTTATTTCCTAATTTTTTATGGTAGTTACAAGATTGGTCAAATTGACCAAACCCGTCAAGGGATTTGATAGTGCAAATAACAGATAAAATATAAAATTTGTTCTTAAAACATATTTGATAATTATCTGGAGGTTATAAAGATTTCGCATGTGAAATTTGAAAATTTTCTGATGCATAAAAGTATTTTTTAAATTAAAATCAAAATTATTTTGCTTGTTGAATATTCAACATTTCAGACAAAAAAAATGCAGGAAAAAAACATTACATACAAAATCTTAAAACTTAATGAAAAAATATATTTTGCATACAAAAGCCTTGTAATGTTTACTGATAATCTGCAAAATTTCGTGAAGACTTGCTTACTAATTTAAAAGTTATAGCATAAAAACTATAACAAGCACAAATGGTTACGAGGTCTTTCCTTGGGACTGAGCCTGTGTTGAGAAAGTTAAAGCTCTGGATACAACTGTGATAATGAATAATATAAAGAATTTTTGTATATACGTTTGACTCTTTTTGAATATATTATTTTAAAACAAGTGGATTGTATGCTATCTGTTTATTGTTAACATTTATTGCCACCAAGTCACAGACACCTACTATAAAGAATCTGGCTCCATAAACCTGACAGAGCCCACATGCAACCTTTTGTGTGAGCTTTATATTATCAGTGGAACTTCATTTTTGATCCCTCTGACATTCCTTCTCCCTCCTTCTCTACATGTGGACTTTGCCTGATAGTTCAATAGAGACAACACAACAGTGGTGTTCCTCTTCCTCCTCCTCGTCTGGGTGCATATTTCAATGTGCAGGAGATTTCGGGCTGTTGATATATCAATGAATCATCTCTACATATCAGTCTCTTAGAACTACTTGCTGTGTGTCAGGCTTAGGTTCACTTCCTTCTGGCTCTCTGGAACTGGTCAATAATGATCCTCTCTGGGAACTCAACAATTGTCTCATACATCACTTGCCATGGAGTACACAGTCAAGTTCTCTTTGTTTCCACATGTTGAACCTCCTGTTTTGGGCCCATGGTCATCACATTTGCTTGTTGGCATGTTGTATAGTGGGTGCCCTAAATCTGGTCATAGATCGTTTATCACATTCCGACAGGAGTTTCCCCATGGAGTGGTCCCTTTACCCTTAGGTATTTGGCTAGCTACATTGCCAGTGGGGTACTACAGAACTAGATGCATTTACCATCAACCTGAATTCCAAGCTTCCAATGTTTTGGTCACCAATATCACATCCTTCAGCTGTAGCTGTCTTGACAGCAGTCAGGATTGGGGGCTTTACCTCTATGCCTATCCCCCATCTGTCTTCTTCCTCATGTCCTCTCTGTTATACAAGCACTCGCTCTTGGTGGCACCACTTTGGTCAACACAGCCATAGTTTCCACTTTGGTACTTGCTCCTATTGACACCTCGTCTTCCTCTTCCCCTCTCACCCACCTTCCTTTGTCAACCTAAATTGAGCACTCTACATCCTTTCAATCGAACATTTTGTCTTCACACGTGGCTTTTGTCTGGTCCATAGCCAGACAGGCTGGACTTGTCCCATGGGTTGCTTCCATGATTTCCCATTCTTTCATATAGACACTTCTCTTTGTGCAGACCTGATGTAATATTCCAGATGGTGCCTGGTTATAGACTGGATAATTTTTGGCAAAATGCAGTTCACCCCTCTGACTGGGCATATTTCTTCCTGTTGTCACCCAGATGCTGGTTCTTGGGAGTACTGGTGTTGGTTGGAGTTGGACTAGCCACATAAGTTCTCACATGTGAGTGGTCCAGGTACCCTCCTCCTACAATGGACTGGATGATTCATTCACAATGCCAACTGGTTCTGGACTGGAGTTGATCTGCCACATTGCTGTCTGCTTTCCTACCATTGTCTGGATGTTGGTTCTCATGATGATGCGGGTCTTTGGAATGGAAGATCTTCCCATCCAGTTCTCGTGTCCGAGGTGAACTATAGAGGACCCTCTTCCTACCAGGGGCTAGATATTCCTATCACTGTACTGCTAGTGTTTGTCAAGGTTGAACTTCCTTTTGTGGTCTGCTGCACCCTAGCCACTCTGCACCAGAAGTCCCATCATTTAATTTCTGGTGTACCTCCTATTATTCCACCATTATTGTAACACATCATTTTCAAGGGCAAAGTGTATATTTAGCTCATAAGTGGTGTAGTCTTCCACAGGTGTGTTTTACATACACTTTATTCACACACCCCATGGGCTTCCTTTGGGCACTTTCTGAAAGGGGCTCATCTGGGTACTGTGAGAGGAGGTAAGATATTTTATCGGAAGTTAACATTTTCCTACACTGAAAATGTATTTCCAATAGATTCTTACCTCACACTTCTCACCCTTCCTCCCCACTTCCAGTTTCTTTCCCTTTTATGTTGCTCAATCTTAAAGAGAATTGGGCTAAGCTGCATGGATGGAGTCAGCTGTGCTTGGAGTTGTGTGGCACTTCTATTGTTGGAGGGTTGTCGTATGCTCGTTTGCATGCTATCATGCAGCTGCCTCTCATGAAAACTTGTGAGGGTAGGTGGGAGTATCAAGGCTAGTGGTGAGCAAAAACCTGCACATATTGAGAACAGTTAGTAAAAGCTTTTCTGTGAGCAGAGGTAAGAATCTATCTAAAATACGTTTTCAGCAACGAAAAATTTTAACGTTTACAATGACAGCTCTAGATATGAATTAGTCAACAAGGTTCCCCAAAAAATTTGCTCTGTTTCTAGAATCCCACAAGTTGCCACATTCGTACTACAAGGGCCTTACATTTTATATTCATATCACTGTAATGTTTATCATTTGTTTATAAAGAATGACATACATGAACATCGTTTATTTTTTAACAACAAATAACACCCTGTTACTCAACCGTTAGGATCCTAGTACATATTCGTTTTTCATTAGAATTTTGTAGGTTGTACATTAAGTTACACAGAAACGTATGTATTTTATAGATTATACTTATAATTATGTACTGATACAAATATTTTAAAGTAGTGAGAATAATAAACTTTCAGGAACACACACTCAAAGAAAAGATACTCAGTTCCATACTCTTCCTACAGCTGTGCTGGACAAACAGTACACAGTGAGTCTGTCTCAGGCCACCAACTCAGCTGTTTTACAGGTAAACTTCTTTTTATGTCTGAATGTGTTGAAGATCACCAACTCGTATGTTTTACAGGTAAAGTTCTCTTTATGTCTGAATGTGTTATAGAGCACCATCTTGGATGTTTTACAGGTAAGCTTCTCTTTATGTCTGAATGTGTTGAAGATCACCAACTCGGATGTTTTACAGATAAACTTCTCTTTGTGTCTAAAGGTGTTTTAGAACACCGACTCGAATGTTTTACAGGTAAACTTCTCTTTATATCTGAAGGTGTTGAAGACCACCAACTCGGATGTTTTACAGGTAAACTTCTCTTTATATCTGAAGGTGTTGAAGACCACCAACCTCGGATGTTTTACAGGTAAACTTCTCTTTATATCTGAAGGTGTTGAAGACCACCAACTCGGATGTTTTACAGGTAAACTTCTCTTTATATCTGAAGGTGTTGAAGACCACCAACTCGGATGTTTTACAGGT